ATTTTATATAATAATTGATTTTATCCACTTGTTTGTATCTACAAGATGATCTAGATATTATTAAAATTGATTATATAATCAATATTATAAGCATCCAGAAATGACTTTCTATGAGTTTTCATGATTTAAACATTTCAATAAATGAACAGGGCATAAAATTATTATATTTTTAATAATATGAAGATAGAAAGCATAATTAAAAATAGGTTAGACAATTTATTTTTCTTACCATGTTTGTTTTAGTTTGATAAAAACATTTTTATTGATTTGACAATTTTTGCTAAACTCCTTTAGAACTTGCTTTCACCTTCTCTTTTCAAATAATGTAGCTATGCCATAACCTAATTAGGAAAACTTCAAGAGGTAGTGATTATTTCTTATGATTAATATGAAGTGAGATCTTGTTTTACTTTCTCAGTTCACAAATTTCTTAAAAATTTATTTACCTTTAACAAGACTGAAAATACTTTAACAGTGATCCTGTTCAAAGTAATGAAAGCTTAAAAGGTATTTCTCCTATGTAATTTTTTAAATAGGCATATATAGAAAGTTTCCAAGTCAAAAAGGATTGTATGTCAAGTGGGTTGTCTTAGACTTGGAACATATTTTTCTAGGAAACAATGTTGTAAATGATGTTCAGATGTACTACTAATTCATGAATGTGTTTATCACATGTAGAAATGCTGCAAATATTATAGAGTGTATACTACTTCTCTTTTCAGTAAATAAAATTAAAACTAGAAGATGAAATAAAATTTCATTTAATTTATGTACTATGCTTGAAGTAAGTCCACTTTTATTAGGAATATTTATCAGGGTAATTTTAAAATACACATTGGTCACTGTCTTTTCAAACATTTACTTTGAAAAAATTCTATACCACATTATTGTTTTCATATAGTAAGTAGTAAACTTCACTGGAGAAAATTGTGGAAATATGAAAAGTATGAAAGAATAAATTATGGCATTTTCTTGTAAATGAATGGAGTTGGAGAATATCATGGTAAGCAAAATAAGACAATCGAAAAACCAAAAGCTGAATGTTTTCTCTTATAAGAAGTTGCTACTTCACAATAAGGGAAGAATAGAGTTATTTGAGATTAGGTAGAGGGGAGGGAAGGGAGAAAAGGGGAGGAAATATGGGGATAGGAAGTAGAATGAAACAGATATTATTACCTTCTATACATATATAACTGCATGGCTGTTGTGATTATACAATGTGTACAATCAGAAAAATAAGAAATTATACCCCATCTATGTATGATATGTCAAAGTGCATAACTGTATTCTATATAATGTCATGTATAACTAATGAAATAAAAATACAAAATAATTCAAGGAACTATAAATGTTGCTTAGGATGTGGGGGAAAGTGTACACTCATACATTGCTGGTGGGACTACAAGTTGGTACAACCATTGTTTTTGAGAAATCAAAAAAACTATGAATGGAACCAGTATTTGACCCAGTTGTCCCACTCCTCAGTATATATTCAAAGGAAATAAAATCAGCATACTATAGTGATGCAGCCATATCAACATTTACAGCAGCTCAGTTCATAACAGCTAAGCTATGGAACTAACCTAGGTGCCCTTCAATAGATGACTGGATAAAGAAAACACGGTATATATACAGAATGGAATAATATCCAACATTTGAAAAAAAAAATAGAACATTCTTTCTTACATTGAGTTGGAATTAATTGAAATCTGTGAACCAAATTTTATGCCATATACTTGCATAACATATTTTACCTTTAAAAGATGTTTGAAAAGTTATTATTATCAATACATTTTTCCTCAATTGAAAGAAGTCCAATTTTTCTATTCTTTATATACTAAAATAATCTGATTTGCCTTAATATTAATATTTGCTGAAGTTTCTCTTTAAAATGTTGTATTTGGAGTTAAAAACATACTGTAGATATGACCTGACCAACATGTGGTAGGAAATTAGTTTTTAGGCATGTTACATTGTTAATAGAACTGTAATTTATTTCATATAAGTTACAATCAATGTCTATTAAAATAGTTGATTTTTGAAATAATATTTGTACCTTGGTTAAATTTGTGTATTTTTAGGTCAGTTATTGAGCATGTCAACTTTTAATAAATTCTGCTTGGTTTATCTGTTAATATTTGTGTATTCCATAATTTTTAATACATTTTAGAATCTATTCAACTTTTAAAAAAATATTGAACAGAACATTTTTAAGAATAGAGCCTGTTCTATTCCTACAAGAGGTAGATTCCTTAGCTTGTCATTAGTCCTTTCGATGTGACATTTTAGCTAGTGATATGTATTTGAAACTTATCATAATTATCATTATAATAACATTTACCAGATATTTTTAATGTAGGTACTTTTCTAAGTAACTTTGTATGTATTAATCAATTTAATCCTCATAATGCTATTTTTTAAATATTTATTTTTTAGTTGTAGGTGGACATAATATCTCTATTTTATGTTTATGTGTTGCGGAGGATTGAACCCAGTGCCTCATATGTGCTAGGCAAGCACTCATCCACTGAGCCACAACCCCAGCCCATCCTCATAATACTTTTATTAAGGAGGTTTTATTTCCATTTTACAAATGACTGAGTTACATATTTTCAAGAATTGTAAAAGTCCTGGCATTTTATAGTACTTACAAGCTAATAAACTAGACAGCCATTGTTTTATTGCTGCAGTTTGGCTATGCACAGCTTTACTAACTGATCATCTTTAAGTCATCAAATGTAAATATAAACTTTTTTTGTAAAGTATATTTATACTTTATAAAAAAAAAGTTTTATAAGTCAGTTGGAAGTGAAATGATGGCTTGCAAGTGACTGACTGCAAACAGTAACAAAAAACAGTTCAAGGAACTAGGGCCTTCAACAGCCTTGTGTTGGGTGTTCCAGAGCAAGGGCCAACTGCAGGGATGAGGCAGCCACAGCCCTCTTCTCTCACTGGTCTTCTGAGTGGGAACCTGATCATTCTCCTGCTCCAATGCATTTGTATTGCCAAGAACCCATTCTCCTTGTGATTTCACCCATCTCATCTCCAGCATGCCATCTGGGACCACTTTTCATTGCCTGTAAGCTCCTAAACCACATCCTGCCCTTTGGTATGGGGACAGGAGAAAAGCAAAATATGAGATTTAGGGTATGGGAAGTACCTTCAAGACCTGTGACACCTCATTAGACACAATGAGATAAAGAGATTAGACTTGGGGACTTACCAAAGAACGTCTGTCTCCTGGAGGCCATCTGAATGAAGTGGGCTGGCGGCAGACCCAGCACCTTCAACAAGCACAGTGTAGTTGGTTCACTCTTGGTGAAGTCACAGATTCAAAGACTGTTAAGAGCTAGGTGGGACTTTGGCCACATTTTGCCTTTTACAGATAAGAACTTGAGGAT